GGCGTCCTTGGGATCCTCGGGAATCTCCAGAGCATGACAGCCCGGCTTTCTGCGCAGGGTGTTTTCTCAGGAATTTCTTAAGAAAGAACGGATTCCGCTGAGCCCGCCAGGAATTAGATCTGTCTTCTGCTCTGAACTGCTGACACACAGAGGAGATTTGCCATGAAAATAGTTAAGCGGCATCCTCTGTTGGACAGCATACTGGACTTACGGGGTAATAGGCAGGGGTGTGGGGGGGGGGCGTGGAGGGAGGGGGGATGGCGGGATAAAATGAGACCCTGCCCGGGCACTGAAACCCTAACTGCATTACTTACTCTCACGGGCTCAAATCACTAAACTAATCATCGACTAGCAAAATAATTTTCTCTCTACATCTTAAGTTCACGTGAAGGCAGCGCTGTCAGCCACTGCCAGTTTCACTGTTAGGACTCAGGCAAGGCCCTCCCTCTTTCAGGTCTACCTTCGCTTGTCCCCCAGCCCCAGCTCCCCCCATTTTTTCAGTTAAGTCTAAACCATCTGAATGGCTGTAAATTTCTTAACCACAACACCAAAAAGCAACAGCAACAACCAATGATTGGCAATAGCTTGAGGAAGAGAATGCCTGAACGTATTCTTGTGCTTTTAGGGGAAACGGGTCACCAAACACCAAAACTAAAATTGTTACAGGGCAGGGAGAGGGGCACCCCAACACCCCCAAACCTGCCCGCTTTAAATAGGTCCTGCCATCTGCCACATGAAGACAAAACATTTAAGACCTTTAATGGAAAAGAACTTTAATACAATTAGTGAACAAAACAGAAAAGACAAGAAAATAGTTTCTAAATCAAGCACCCACAGTTACCCATCCCCTCGGAGGTAAAAGTCCACCCAAACGGGACAGGTCTTAAACACCCATAGAAAAGGATCAGAATCAGCCAGAGTAGTCTGGGCGGAAAAGAGCAAAATCAAAATCAAGATAAAAGCTGCCACTGTTATCTTCCCCACGTGTTCTCTCGCCCACATCTGTGTCACCCAGTTCAGGACCAAAAGGCAAGCGCAGTTTCTTCACATGTCTCTCTGCTCCATGTGCCTCCTGCAGGTCTCCTTCTGGCTCCATCCTGCTTCCTTCCTTCCTCTGCCCTTTCTGTAGCTTCTTCTCCTCCCTGGGTGGGGTAGGGAACCTGGAACCTCCCCTTTTCCTGGGCACCACCCTGTTACACCTGTTACAAAATCACAGACAGTGAAGTAAGAAGTTTTGTTCTTTCACTTTTGGAGACTTGGCCTGGAAAATCCATGGAGAAGGTGCTATAGCCAGAGCATTTCTTCCTCACCCCTTTGGATGTGGTTATTGGGGCTGCCCAAAGAGGTGGAAAAAGGACGTGGGAAATTTGGTCTGACCTATGAAGACGCTGCCCTGGATTCCCAGGCTCAGGTCACTCCCGGCAGATCCAGTTTCTGTAGGACAATCTGGGCGGGTCTGAATTTCCTTCCATCAGATAATTTTCCTGAATACCCCCAGGTCTCATTTAGCCAGGCACCCAAGGCAACACTTGGATGCCGTTCAGCAACTTGCGGCTCCTTACGCTTCTAGTTTCTCAAGTGACCACAAGTGATGCCCCCTTCTTCCCACCAGTTTTGCTCCTTCCCCAGTCCCATTTACAACGTTTATAGTTTTTTCCTAAATTATTTGATTTTTTTTTTAGTAATTTAGCATCCATTACCATTCCAGAGACTTCTCTCTTGACTCCTATGAGTTTATTGTACCTCTTACATTATGTAATTTTTTAAAAAAGATTTATTTATTTATGCATACAAGACCTGGGTTGCAGGCCAGAGGTCGGGGCTATGTGTGTGAGAGGATTCAGCAGAGACAGAGTGGGGAGCAAACAGGTGGATCTACTGAAATACACTGCTGAGAGGAGCAGCGGGGAAACAGGGGAGGACTGCTGCGTCATGTGGGTTTCTCCCTGGCCGGGGATCGAACTTGTGCTGCAGTGGCTGCCGATAGCTTCATGGTGCTGAGAGGTAACCCTTTGTGCCACCAGCGAGGCTCTCTGACATTATTTAATTTATAAAATAAGTAACCCATCCACTTGGTTAAACATCCTCAGTACAGATAGCAACGCCCTGAACATCGTCTTCCTACATTTGTTTGCCCTCTGCCTTACTCCCTGCGCCCTCACAGGTGACCATTGTCTGCAGCTTCCTATTACCTTTCTAGAGAGTTTTAAGAGCACATATACAATCTAAAACAAATATTCTCTTCTCCACTTTGTTCCCATGGTGGCACTCTAGACACACCGTCCTGCATCTTTTTTTCACTTAAAGATATCATTGGAGAGAATCACAACTGAATGCATAATGTTCCTCTTTATTATCCTTTAAGTATATATATACATATTATTCCATTTTCAATATGTCATAATTTATATTATGATGATAATTAGGGTCTCCCCATTCTTTTTACTACAAATAATGCTGCAGTGAATAATTTTATTGTAGTAATTTCTTCTCTGTGCAGGCATACCTCGCACACCATGCAAATGTACATTAAATGATATTTGCATTAAAAATGAAATGTTGGTTGATCCCACCTAATTGTCTTCTATTCAGGCTTAGCATGGTTTCTTTCTTTCTGAGAAGCACAATTAAACAGGATCCTGGGCCTCCTTGGTGGCGCAAAGGGTTAAGACACAACCTATGAAGCTGTCCGCAGCCACTGCAGCAAGAATTCGATCCCTGGCCAGCGAGGAACCCACATGGCGTGGCAGGCCTCTCCTGACTCGCCCGCTGCTCCCCTCAGCGGTGTATTTCGGTCAGTCTGCCTGTTCTGCTCCCCACTCTGTCTCTGGTGAATCCTCTCACCCCCCACACCTCTGGCCTGTACCCCTATTCTTGTATGCATAAATAAATAAATCTTTAAAAAAAAATAAACAAGATCCTGATAACACTCAATATCACAAAACCAAGTAACAGATTCCCTGCTACACTAGGAAACAAAACCAGGCGATCCATGAAGAATGTATAAGAACGTTCAGGATTTTGTTGGAGGACCCAAGGTCCTTGACTTTTCATCCTAAAACTATCAAATAAAATTTCATGGAAATGCGAAACTGTATTATTGCCAAGGATTTGATTTCTACACTCCACAATACAACAGCTCTTTTAGAAGAAAACTGTGAAATTTTACCTCTTCCTCAGTGAGTTTACGTAAAATCAGTAATGGGGGCTTAATCCAGTGTGCTGATTTAAAGGGAGCTTTCAGACATCAATATTTCCACTGTATCTTAATTTATTTCTGAGGATTTTTACTTTATTCTGAAAGGGTAGGTGTTTACTCTGGAAAAGTGGGAGAAAGGTGAATTTTACAAGGGAAAGTGAGCAAGGAGAACCTCAGCAGTTGTGTCCCTGCACAAGTTCAACTTGAGAGAGTAAAACTGAAAGTTAAAATATCTAGAAACTGGGGGCCTCCCTGGTGGTGCAAGGGGTTAATTCTCAGTACTATGAAGCTATCCACAGCCACTTATCCTCAGCCACGCAGCATGAGTTCCATCCCCGGCCAGGGAGCTACCCACATGGCACAGCAGACCTCTCCTGTCTCCCTGCTGCTCCCCTCAGCAGTGTATTTCAGTAGATCCACCTGTTGTGTTCCCCACTCTGTCTCTGGTGGACCCTCTTACCGGCCCTCCCCCCGCCCCCACCTCTGGCCTGTGCCCTAGTTCTTGTGTGCATAAATAAACAAATCTTTAAAAAATTCTAGAAAGTGATATTTTAAAGAGATTGTGTGAACACTGCTGACCCCGTGATGAAGCCCAATGGGTCACCACCCCATAGGGTGTTCTTGAGGGTTGACTGATAATCAGACTCATGCACACAATAGACACCACTGGTTTGCTGGCACTGTCATAAGATAATACCACAGACCGGTCGACTTAAGCAAGGAAAATTCATTTCCTGAGAGTTCTGGACACTGGACATTCAAGGTCAAGGAGTCCCAGTTTGGTTCTCTCTGGAGGCCTCTCTCCTTAGCAAATGGCTACCTTTTCCTGCATTCTCCTGTGGCCTTTTTTTTTTTGTGGCTCACATCTGGGTGTCTCTCCCTCTTCGTATCAGGATGCCAATCCTATCTGAGTAGGGACTGATGGAGCTTAGATTAGAAAATTTAGGATGAAGGCCGGACAGCAGAGGTGCAGGTGGAAATGAACATGGTCCTTCAGCCAGCTTCACAGGGGCGGGACAGTGTCGGTCATTACAAGAAGCAGCAGTGCTTACAGATGAACCCAGCCAGACCTTAAAAGTCATCGATTTCACAGCAGATAAAAGTCCACAAAGGAATGACCCCGCCAAAGAACACTATATAACAGTACCCCTTGCTCTGGCAAAGTGCAGCTCTGGCCCCAAGGCTGCCAGTCTGCGCCTCTTTTAATAAACCTGCCCTTGTGAAACGCAGCCTCTTCCTGTTTGTGTCCATGCAAAGGTCTCTTTCCTTAGTAAACTCTCCGTGTGCTGCTGAGTGGGAAATTCCTCCAAAACACTTCCAGAGGGAACCCTGGGACCCCACATCATATGAATGCCAACATCTCATCTGAACGCCACCAGAGCCCCACCGTTATGATCTCAGTTAACAGTACCTTTTGGAAGACCCTACATCCAAGTACAGTCACTTTGGGGGTTCAGCGGCGGATTTGGGGGACTCAGTCATTTCAGGACAGCGCCCCCATCTCTGTACTGAGTTTAAGGCTCCACAGCACCAGCAGGTCTCCTGACGGCGACCACTTCTGGGTGCCTCAGGAGATGAAGACTTCATTGGGGTTACACAGGTTGCACCTGGAGGCTCAGCTCCCACCCCGCGTTTTGACAGCTGCTACTCGCCTGAGGGGTTCTTTCACCCTGTCTCCCTTCTCGGGCCTTCCAATCCGTGACGCAGACGCTCGCCCTCGTCTCTGGACTCGCGGGAAATTCACTGGGACGAAGGGTCCATTTGAAATGTGGGCCAAGCAACTCCCAAAGGTTCAACTGACAGAGGCCTCGGGCGAGTCCCGCCGGTTTCGCGCGATCCCCGCAGGGGCCACCAGGGGGCGCGACCCGGGAAAGCGGCGGAAACTCGCCGACATCCTGCGGGGAACCCGGGTCGGGGGCTGCAGAAACGCCCGGGGGGTCCCGGAGCTGCTCGCTGCCTTCCTCCCGCATGATCCGCCCGCAGGAGTGGGGCTCTGCGGTCCTCCAGCGCGGAGGAAAGCGCCTCCTCCCGCTCCCCTTTCCTGGGCGCAGTTACACTGAGTTCCAATGGGGCCGCGAACACCGATCTGTACGGTTTCATAACCCGGGCTGGCACGCGGGGAAAAGACGAGTGAGGTGGTGGTGGAGAAGAGTGTGTGAGTTCACTCGGGGGTTCACACTGAGGGTGGGATGGCGGTGGGGGGGGGCCTGCTTCAATTCGGGATTGGAAAACTCCACGCACCCCCTACCTCCGCTCCCTGCCCTTTCAGGATCCTCACCCCCCCAGCCCCCCCAGTTACTCTTTCTGGTAAATGCCCCAGGGCACAAGAATTAATTCCCTCCTTGTCCTTCAAACATCTTCACTTGTCTTTCTGTTCCTGTTAAGTCTAGCTTCTCCTTAAGTGATTTCTCTAAAATTATTCCCTTACATTTCTCCCAAAGTATTAGCTTGCGGGGGGGGGGGGGGGGGGGGGGAAGGGGGGGGCGGTAAGGCAGCTACTTCCTTTAGGATTAAGACATGACCTGATAAATATCATGGGCGTGAAAGGGAGCTCAAGCAGGTAGGTGAAGGGGCTCTGATTTGTGCCTCAGCCTGCTTACCGGTGAGAAAGATAAAGGTATCCTCATCACATTTCACTGAGGGGATCAGTTTTCTGTCTCCACCTTCCACCACCTTGCTGGTTCCCCAGGCCCTGGAGGCCCAATACTGCAGCCCTCACCTCCTTGAAAGGAAAAGTGTTGGGGGAGAGGAGCCCTGGCTTTTGGATATAAAAGTATTTTTTTTCTCCAGATTCTAGTTGAAGGACTTGGAATTCAGGCACTTGGGTGGGGGGCAGCCTCCTGAGACTCTGGGGGTTTCACATTTGTTGAATGCGAGGTCCAGTGGAAACGTGGGCCTCAGGGAACAATAGCTGGGGCATGAAAGGTAGGTGGTCAGTGTTACTCCTGTTAGGTAAATGGCAATTTCCAGCACTCCAAATCTAGTGGGCGCAGATCAAGTCCTGGTGAGAACTGGGCCCATTTTGCTCAGCATCCATGCTGTCTGCTTGAATCATTCCCCCCTGTTTTCTTGTGCTGCTGTTCTGGAGAACCTTTTTAACCCCAGTACCTGCCCCCCAGAGGCAGGTCTTGGAGAAGGAAAAGAGGAGACTCAAATAAAAGTGCTGGAGAGTGAAGGGTGACAGAATAAGGCCCCCACACCCCCACATTACCACTTCCCCCCCTGGGTATATGTGAGCTCTACAAGTCAACTTGTTTTTCTTCTGCTGATCTCTTTTCCTACAAGTTTCCCAGCTAAGAACTTAGAGGGAAAGTTATTTTTCTCCCCTACAAGAGTAATGGTGACCAACTCCCTACCCGTCCCAGGACTGGAAAAACAAGTCTTCAGTTAAGAAACTCTTGAAAATAGATGCCTGGGTCAAGAAGATGTGATACATATACACAATGGAATATTACTCAGCAATAAAAAAAAAAAAAGATCAACGCATGCCATTCACAGCACATTCAATGGAGCTGGAGAGGATCATGCTCAGTGGAACAAGCCAGAAAGCAAAGGAAAAATACCAGGTGGTTTCACTTATAGCAGGAATGTAGAGGGTCCTAATAAGGGATCAGGGGGAAAAATTATAATAAAACAATTATAATAAGGTGAAAATCAAAATCAGCAGGCAACTATAAACCAGAGACATTCTGCAGGGGGTGGGGGAGGGAGTAGGATCAAAACAGGGGTGGGAAGAGCAAAAGGGACTATGGTGATGGTCCACGGGTGAATGGGTGGAGGGAATTTCACGGGGACTACAACCAAGATGAAAAAGCATCCATTGTACAAAAACGAATGAAGCAAAACATACATAAAATAAAAAAATACTTAAAAAAACCCTGAAATAATGAAAAAAAGAAACCCTTGAAAAAAATAGAAGCCAGCTGGTGCCGAGGGCAAGGGGACAGTGTGGAAGGGACTTGCTAGCAGCGCAGAATGAAAGGTGGTCAGAGGCCTCCGTCCGGGCCAGCGGTCCGGAGGGCGGCCATTCCCGAGGGCCACCGAGGATGGGCGGAGGCGGGGAGCGCGCGGGAAGCGCTTGTCCGCAGACTCCAGGGCGAGGGCCGGGGCCCAGGTTCCGGGGCGCCGCCGGTGGCCCTTCACGAGTCGATACCCGCGAATGCGGCTTCCAGTTTCCTCAAAGGAATTTAGAGGCCGGCAAAGGCAGGATCGAATTAGTAACTCCTCCCCCCTGAGCGGTAAGTCTCAGTGCGCTTTCGAGGGTTATCCCGAAGGAGAGACTGCTCAGGGCTTTGTTCTGCGGGCTCCGAGGTTGCTCGGCTCAGGGCAGCTCCAGAAGAGCAAAGAAAAAGCCCGCGCTCGAGGCGGTCGGCAGGTTGGGGAGCCCGGGGCGCGAGGGGCCGGCTGGGGCCGCTGGGGCTCCAGGGAGCTGACGTCGGGCCAAAGACAGCGCGGGGAGGGGAAGCAGGGAGGAAAGAGAGAAAAAAACAAATAGAACAGCACGAAATCTTTATTCTGGCAAATACTCTGCGTGATAAGGGGAATGCTCAGGGGAAAGCTGCCGCGGAGCAGAGTGGCGCAGCGGAAGCGTGCTGGGCCCATAACCCAGAGGTCGATGGATCGAAACCATCCTCTGCTACACCTTTTCTCGTGCCGTGGCCCAGAGGGTGGGGCGAAGATCGCCTATGAGAAAGTAAATACATCTGACATGATAAAGCTCATCTCTGTCGCGAGGTAACCGATTTCCAGCAACGCGTGTTTTTCTTTCCGCCCCGAATGACCGCGTGACTGCTTTGCTTTCATTTCAAAACAGAGGCAAATCTTACAACTAAAGGAAGAGGAGGCGACAAATTAATCTTCCAGTGAATAGGATATACTGAGGTATATTTTAATTTTATATACTTTTATATATTCTTGCACGTTTTCTTAACACTCAAAGGAAAAACACTGTTACTTTTGCCGTCTACCATGGGTAACTGTAAATCTACATTGCAGCCTTTTTATTTAGGTTTGGGAGTTTCCTGGTTCTTTCATTCTTTTACTCACCCCTACACAACAGTTGGGAAGACATCTCTCATGCTCTCTCCCCGGTCCAGTTTACTTACATAAAATATTCATGGTGTATATATATATATCTATATATTCATGGTAATTTTATGGAAAAATGAAGAGAGGCAAAGAAGTTTAATTTGAGATGACAGAAAACATTGGACTATGTTAATACACAACATTTTGTGCAGCAGAATTCCACAAACACAGAAGCAACATCAAAGTCTTACTGATGCATGTGGTAAAATTTTTTGAGAAAAATTACTAGTTAAAATACTTGAGAGAGAAAGGTGAGGGGGGCACACGTGAAGGAACTGGAGGGGAGACCTGTGAAGACACTTGGAAGAGAAACTGAGAAGAGACACTGGGGAGGCAGCTCCTGGCCCTTGGCAGAGACAATGACATCCTGGTATTTTGACCTCATGTTGGATTTTGTGGTTTATTCTGAATTTTGGGTCTTACCTCCTGTCCCAGCTCTCTGGGACCTGCAGACCCCTTTTTTTGTGGGTCCCCACCAAAAGTTGCCTTAGATTTGTGGCAATTTTTCGGGCTTCAGCTGCCCTGCTTTGGGTGGATACATTTTGGCTGGGTGTTTACTCACAAGGGGAATTTTTGGATTTTGGTGGGGAAAATATTGAAATTTTCTCTTCATTCTCTCTTTGCACACCTACTCTATTAAAAATATTTCACACTGGGCCTCCCTGGTGGCACAGGGGTTAAGACACAGACTATGAAGCTATATGCAGCCACTGCTGCACGAGTTCGATCCTCGGCCAGGGAGCTACCGACGTGGTGCAGCAGATGTCTCCTGACTCGCCCACTGCTCCCCTTGGCAGTGAATTTCAGTCGATCTGCCTGTTCTATTCCCCACTCTGTCTCTGGTGAATCCTCTCACCCCCCACCTCTGGCCTACACCCCAGTTCTTGTATGCATAAATAAATAAATCTTAAAAAAAATTCACACTAAAAAATTAATATAAAACACTCGAATTTTTAATTTTTTGATTTTATATATTTTTACATCATTTTTCATTTTTGCACAATGTGTGCATTTTCATCTTGGTTATAGTCCCCATATGATTCCCACCCCCCTTATATGGACCCTAATATAAGGGTCAATTATATTGACCTCCCCGCCTCCCCCCCTTGTTTATAGTTGCTTGTTGCTTTTTACTTTTCTTCCTCCTCCCTCCCTCCCTCCCTCCCTCCCTCCCTCAATCCTTTCTTTCTTTCCTTCTTTCTTCCTTTCTTTCTTCCTTCCTTCCTCTTCCCTCCCTCCCTCCCTCTTCTTCTTTCTTTCTCTCTCTCTCTCTCTCTCTCTCTCTCTCTCTCTCTCTCTCTTTCTTTCTGAGGGGGGCACAGGGCCACATGCACGGGAGGGTGAGCGGACTCACCAGACACAGAGCGGTGAGCAGAACAGGCGGACTGGCCGAAATACACTGCTGAGGGGAGCAGCGGGCGAGCCAGGAGAGGTCTGCTGCGCCCTGTGGGATTCTCCCCGGCCAGCCAGGATCGAACCCAAAACACTGCAGAGGCTGCGGACAGCTTCACAGAGCGGCGCTCAACCGCCTGCGCCACCAAGGAGGCCCGATTTTTACTTTATTTAAATAAAACACTCTATTACCAGTGCCTATAGTGTGGCAAGAAAATGTTAACTCTTCTAAACAATGAGAATTCACACAGCAAAATAACAAGAGGGAAATGTTAATTTGCATAAAACGTTAATATGCATAAGGTAGCCCCGTTTTCTTTTACTTTGCTGGTGAAAATGCCCTTGTTGGGTGCTTGCTTGTGCCCTGAAAGCATTTTAACTAACTCTGAATGTCTATGCATAAGAGATTGGTTG